ACTATCCGTGGTATGTAAATCAATTTATACACTTAATTATGTTGATTAAATATATTAGAATGACTTGCATTTACGTGTTGTTTAAATGTCGCTTTTCTCTTTATTATGCTCATGCAAAAAACATGTTTCACCCACACACAGTTTCTACATGCGACATTCTACGTAATACATTACACTGTCGTAATCTACTATATCAATATTCTAATTCTGAACTTCAATGATGGTAAATTGTAAAAGTTAAGTATATAGTATAGAACTTTAATTTGTAAGCAACACCATATAAATTAATCATTACAATATATATTCAAATTATTTGAAATAAACGTAAAATTCGGGCACCTTAAAATCACATTTTTGTTGCATAAATATGTATAAAATTTATTACTACTTTTCCTCTGTATAAACAGAAAATGACCCAAAAATACTTACTATTCATGGGCCCTTTAGAACAATGCAAGTCCTAAAAAAAAAAAAGACCCCGAACTGCATGTATAAAATAAATATATATAAATGTATACAGCACACACACACACACATATATATCATAATCTAATTGAGGAATTTAAACATGATGACTTCAAAACTTACTTGGATAAAAAGAAAGTTGAAACACTACAGGAAGCAGCTGCTTTTTCCGATGATTACACGTTAACACATAGAATAACTTTTCATAAAAAGAAATTCCTACCATCTCAACAAAAACCTGTATCTGTTCAATCCACTAAAGTTGAGGATTCTTCTAAAAAAATCCAACTCCTCTAGTTCGAAATATTTTGACAGTCAGAATAAAACTTTATTAAAACAATCAAGGCCTGTCTGCCATTTTTGAAAAAACATGGTCATGTGATGTCCGATTGTTTGTGTTGGAAAAAGAAAAAAGGAGGCATTTGTGTCCACATATGGACGTGGTTTCACCAGATCACCCGATGTTCTTTATTTGGCCACTGATATAAAGGCTGGTGTAATCTGGGAGGAATTTACACTTTTTGTACCTGTTGGTTCTGTGTCTTTGACAAATGACGCTAGCAATCCCATACCCAAACGTATTCTACGTGATACTGGGGCGACTCAATCATTGTTGTTAGAAGGTACTAGACAACCCGTGACCCGTTGGGTCACCTACTATTCAGAGGTTACGAAGAATTCAAGCTAATTTCAATATTGCACCGAAATGAAAGTTTATTTTGAGATAATTTAATTAAACATGTCAATCCATTCGTGTTATTCATAATTCAAGAAAAGATATTTGATTTTTGATCAGGAGTAAAAGGAAAGACCATTTCATTTTTCAAAAAAGTGAAGTAAGAAGTTTCGTAAAGAGCGCGAACGGTAGTGTGAATGATTTTTTTTTGACTGAGAAAATACGCAAACAAACAATCTCAGAGTTTTAGTAGTATATAGATAAATTCTCCAATATCTTGTTTTTGACATCTTACGCCTTTTAATGAAGATGGAAACATTGACAGGGCAATAATATAATAGTCAATGTTTGGCGAGAGGTTTTCATTTATAAAATTTTGTTGTTCTCGACATGATTTTTATTTTATTACCTCGTCTCCATAGTTATTATTTGCAAATAGTCAATAATATTGTAGGTCCATTTTATTGTTGTTCTTTCTACGCGCCGTTATAACACATTTTCATCTCATCATTCAATTTCTGTTGTGCATATATTGTTGTATAGAAGATATTTTAAGGTGATTCACCAGGTAGAAAACAATAGATAGATAGATAAGCCGATATGTGGCGCCATCTAGTTTACCTAAATTCATCTAGAAATGTTCATAAAAGTGACTCGAAAAACGGGCTAACTCCGTAACCCGTGGCCCGATTTTAACGAAACTTGTTTTATTCTGTTTCTACTTCTATTTTTATTCCCATTTCATTACAAATATGGCGGTATTGTGCGCCGTTTTTGCACACAAACAATCTCAGAGTTTTAGTAGTATATACATATTGCCTTTAGATTCGAGTTTTGCCACTGTTGAGTCTGTTATTGCTCAGGGTATTGAGGGTAGCTTTGTTGATGTTTCTCTTCATAATATTTATGTAGCATTAGACCCAGTTTCGGGACCAGTTGTGATTGGAGTAAGACCTACTCTGCCAATTAAGGGTGTATCATTGTTGTTGGGAAACGATTTAGCTGGGGGAAAAGTTGTTGCCGAACATAAAATGGTTAGTGAGGCAATCATTGTTTCATCTAAGGATGATGTTGTCGTTGAAGAGAATCCAGATGTGTTTCCCTCATGTGCTACGACTCGAGTTCAGGCTAATAAATTAAGCAAAAAACAAACGATAGACATGGATTCAAAGAACGATATTATAGATTTGTCTCAGACATTTTTTGGATCCAACGAGGATCTTGTGGATAACTGTCCTACTGATGATTGGATTCCTCTGTGAGAAACAATGATGGACGTGAGGGACCTGATTCACCTAGTGAAGTTCCGTTTACTAAAAGTAAACTCATGATTGAACAAGAAAAAGATCTGCAGATCTCTCCACTATTTAAATATGCACTCCCAAAAGATGAACTGGAGAAAGTTCCAAATGATTATTTTTTCAAAAATGGTGTGCTTATTAGGAAATGGAGACTGCCAGATGTACCAGTTTTAGAACATTGAGCTATAATTTACCAAATCGTTGTCCCCAAAACATATCATTCTGAAATATTGAAAGTTGCCCATGAACTTCCCATGGGAGATCAGTTAGGTGTCACAAGACATGTGACAAAATTATAAGCCATTTCTTTTGGCCAAAAATTAGGCAAGACGTTTCTCAGTTTTGTAAAACTTATCATACCTGTCAATAGGTCGGAAAACCTAACCAGAAAAAAGAAGAAAGAGAGAGATAAAGAAAAATATAGAGAAAGAAAGAAAAAAGAAAACACACACACACAAAACATAAGGCTGTTAAATTGTAGTTTATCACTATGAGAATATGGTTTGAAGATAATCCATGTGATAAGAGTTGATAACATTTGTACTTTCATGTACTATGGAATTTTATGATCATAAGGTAATTTGTATTGGTGAAAGGTGAAAGGAAAGGTCTATAAAACCGTAGTGAGACCTGCGATGATGTACGGAGCGGAAGCCTGGCCCATCAAAAAGGCTCAGGAGAAGAAATTAGAGGTAGCCGACATGAAAATGTTGAGATGGATGTGTGGAGTGACGAGGCTTGATAGGATTAGAAACAAGAGGATTCGAGGAACAACTAAAATGGTGGAAATATCGAAGAAAGTTCAGGAGAGAAGATTGCAGTGGTATGGGCACGTGATGAGGAGGGAAGATGATTATATAGGTAAGAGGGTTTTGGATATGGAGGTGGAGGGGAGAAGGAAGACCAAGGAGAATATGGAAGGATTGTGTGGATGGAGATATTAGAGAGAAAGGCCTTGTTTGGGACGAATACGAAGACCGAGGAGAGTGGAAACATGCTGTCAAAAATAGCGACCCCGTATAGATACGGGAAAAGCTACAGAAGGTAATTTGTATTGGTTGTATTCTATACCGTAATTATAATTGAAGTTTTGTAATCCTTTGGATAATATATTATATTTAATGTATTGTTGCCAATATATATATATAATGTCTTAGTTAAAAATTGGCGTTAGACAATTTTTAATTCTCTAAGGATGGGGTTGTAACGAAATCATAATATATTTATTTTTATATCAACGTTTGTTTAGATTAAGTTTATATTTTAAAACATGCGTAGCTTATAGTGTTA